GTCACCATAGTATGCCTGAGGTGATTTAAGCACTAACATTGAAGTTTCACTTTAAATTAAATGTGCAAACCACACAAAACCATGAAATTTCCCTCAGCCTTGCCTCACAAAAGGTTTTCTCAATCAGGCTTGAAAATAGTTGAAGTTGAATTTTACCATAATGATATGAGTAGAGCTGATGTTTCCATTTCCATAATCGCTGTGCAGCATGTGCTTCGAGTTAATCTCGTGGTCAAGCCTTTACTTCATGGACCACGTCTATGAGCAAACCTATCTACCAATAGCCAAATAGAAATGGTCACCACCGTTTCTCTCGCTCTTCCATGACTTGATATTGCGTGCCAATCCCCAAATGTGATGATTCTACTTGTATTAAACGAAAAGAGACCGCGACGATACAAAACGCCACACCATCCTGGTCTTCATATCTTCGACTAAACTATGAAGGTAAAATTGCCAAACAATTCACCGAGTGCAACCGGACAAATACCGTATTTTCCAGCGTATAAGACGACCCCCTGACTTTTGCAGTGAAAATAAAGCTTTAGTAAGGAGGTAAGGGGCACATCAGGAGCTTGGAAACATATTCTAATTAGCGTCACCTAAACTACACTCGGCGTATAAGACGACCCCCCACTTAGGAGCAGAAATGTATGGTGTGAAAAGTTGTCTTATACGCCGGAAAATACGGTAAGAATTTATTAATGTGAAATATTGTGACATGAATGTCCATTTCAAAGAGAAAGTTGGTTGGAATAAATTCGTAATATGGTCGCATCTGAAACCGAAGGATGATTGCCGCGTAGAGAAGACTGTTGAATTGTGCAAAGAAGTCCTCGACTCATCGTCCTGCGACGCCGATGAAACTGAGCTAAACTAATACCATCAGAGCAGGCATACAAACTTCACGAAATAGAGCAAAAATATGCTAAATTAAGAGAAAAGCTGGCCGGCTGAAATAATAGTCGCTTTCATACACCCAACATCGTGATCTTAATGAGGACTCCCATGATTTGGTTGGCTACTTCAACCTTACTCAACCTACTTGCAAATGAGCGAAGGTAAGTCTTTCTCTTTCTCTTTCTCCCTCTCCCTAAACCCATCCGACAGCCACAAACAGTTCCTAATCATTTTCGTATTAAAGTAGATTTTCGAGACTACCAGTAAATCTGTAATATGAGATATATTCACCCTATTTCGTGTAGTGATGAAGGACTGGTAGTAGAATTTTTCCCCAATGCTATGAGTTGAGCTGACGTTTCCATTCAATTTCACATAGCCTTCCTTTCCCAAAAGTTATTCTCATCCAGGCACCAGTGGACTGCAGTTTGACCCTCGGCGGGAATCGAACCGCGACAGTGCAGGATGGGAGCTTTACACGCTAACCACACGGCTACACACGTCAGCTCAACTCATATCATTGTGGGAAAATTCTACTACCAGTCCTTCATCACATTTGACGAAATAGAGTGAATACATCTCATAGTTTCTACTCAGTTTTCTACACTCGTTCCTCCTATTCAGGACATTGGCTGTTTTGTCAAGTTCTATCAACTCCCTAATCTTACGCTTTGACATAAAGTCCCCGTAACCCCCAAAAAGTTTTGTTTTGGACCAGTCTATTGAGTGTCCTGCACTGGCAAAGTGTGTTCAGCGAGCTTAAACCTTTGGACGCCTCATTAAGATCGCGAGGTTAGACGCATAAAAAGCGACTAGGGTTGCAACCAGCCACCTTATTCTCTTGGTTTAGTATATTTTTGCTCTATTTCGTAAAGTATGGATACCCTTTCTGATGATGTCTGTCAAGTACAGATGAAAGCTTAGCACAGTTTCATTGGGGTCGCAGGACGGTGAGCCGAGGACTTCTTTGCACAATGCAACAGTTTTCCTTAAGCGACAATCCTTATTCGATTTCCGGTCAGACCACATCACGAATTCCTTCCAGCCAATTTTCCCTTCGAAATGGAAAGTCATGCTAAATTTGTAAGTTAATCATGTCATCTGACGTTTATAATTTGTTACAAGCATTGCGGTATCGCTCCCGGATTTTGCAGCCTAATGAGGAAGTGCCTTCAGGCACAGTTAATGAAATACTTGATCACGTCTCCATTCAGAAATTAGAGGAAAGTTAGTGGATTGAGAGGCGTAAGCTATTTAAGTTCATAGATATTATGTCTGGATTGAGGAAGGATCTAGGCAAGGTTCTCACTCTGGATGATTTTGGAAAACTCCAGAATGTAACTGAGCAGAAGTCACAGAAGGTCCGAAATTTGATAAATAAGCGGCATGACAAGGAATTGCTGAGATATGGAATAATGAGACAGCGCAGGGTCAAACCAACTCGGGTCCATTCTGATGGCTCTGTATTGAAGGCATCAACTGCTACAACCAACGATAGAGATAAGTTAGTAAATCTGTCCTCAGTCCCTCTTGATTCTGTGACCTTAAGGTTAATGAGTATCTCCACCAGGCTTATATTCAGAAACTAAGTGAGACCTGCGTTACAGAGCGGAATAAGCTGTTTAAGCTTATAGATATTAAATCAAAGCTCCAGCGCGATCTGGCCAGGAATCTGTCTGTAAAAAACTTTCAAAACTCCAGAACATAACCGACAGGAAATCACGTAGGATTTCTGACTTAATAACAAAACGGCATGACGATAAATTGCGTAAATTTGGGATTATAAAACAACCTAAGTTAAAGCCAGTACGCCAAATTGAAGTGGCTTCCGAGGTGACGACACCTACTGATCAGCACGACGATCGGAATAAAGTATTAAAACTTAGCATCATTTCCTATCAATCCCGAAACAACCGCGTTCATGGAAAAAGGAATCAATTTACCTACTTTACATTCAACGGCAATATCTATGAGAAAATATTTAGACTGCCGTTGGGATCTCCATTCTCACCTCTTTTGGCAAATGTATGCATGAACAGATTGAAGAAGGAATTCGAGAAATCGCTACTGCAACCAAGAGTGCTTATGCGATACCTAAGAAAATGGAACATCAAAGGGACAACCAAAGAAAAGATAACACTCTTCACAAGCTTGCCGACGGAGCACGAGGAGGTTGACAAACTGGACCGCTCGGGAGTCTACAGCATCAAATGCGTCAACTGTGAGCAGAAGAATGACGGTGAAACAGGAAGGAAATTCGGCCTGCAGAATCAAGGGACACTGAACGATCAGAATTAGATGAACACATCGCACAGACGGGACTCGAAATCGAGTGGAAATCGACAGAAAGGTTGGCTGCATGTTGTGGAGATAGAAAAAAAGCAAAATACAAGAAGCCATCGATATTCTGACTGAAAGAAAACTAATGAATAGGAGACTTAAAGAGGGCGGGATTAGCGAAAACTTTTCATTACGCCTAAACAAACTCAGAGAAGATCAAGGAACAAGAATATCAGCAAAAAGAAGACGACCAAACAAAGGAATACTTTTAATTTTAGGAAAAGAAATCGCAAGGAGACCAGAGAGAAACAATCGGAAACCAAGAGAAGACGTCTACAGTGGGCCTATTCAAATCAAGTAGAACCATCAAATTTGAAGGTAAGCACGGAATAGAATGGCATAGAAGAGCAAGAGAAATGGTGGTGGCCATTTCTAGTTGGCATTTAAGTAGATTAGTTTGCTCATACACGTGGTCCAGGAAGTAAGGGCTTGACCACAAGAGTTATTCGGTGAACAGGTAGCACAACGATAATAGAATCTGTAGCGTCAAGTTTGGTTGCCATGCCAATTGAGAATCCAGACTTTAGGAGACTGCTCAGTAGGGCTGGTGTAAACGTGCTATCAAAGGCTTGAGACAAAGCGTAGACCATAACAGATGCGAATAAAAGTTGGGTTTCGAGGAATCTATTGTTTCATAATTGTTGAGCTTACTTCCATTTCGAGTGAAAGGGTTGGGTGAAGAGATTAAAAGGTCGGTTCCACCATCGACAGCTGGTCAAGAGGAATCCGCCGTCGTCTTCTGGTGGAACCGACCTCGAATCTCTTCAACCAACACTTTCACTCGAAATGGAAGTAGACCATAACGCCTTGAGTAGCACGGAGACAGTGGCAGCGATGGGTCGAAATCACTGAAACAGGTAGAAAAGGGAAGGATCCTATAGAGCAAGAGGGAGACTCAGCTAGGACCCGGAGGGAGAGGATGGTGAATTAAACCGCAGTCTTGGATCGACACTCAGGTACAGTTGAAGGGATGAGAAAACAGGCGGGGACTGTGAATAGACTTCAAATAGGTTTATATAAACAAGTAAGAAATTGTGATATTGAAGGTGTGATACGAGGATATAGGAGAGGTGAATAGCCCAGAATAGAAAGAGGGATACCAAAACTCTTTAGCACACATTTAGTCCAAGGATCAACTTTACTTGTCCCTTTGACGAGTTGTAGTGTGTTGCTAAGATTGGCAAGGCTTACTGACGATGCCGGCAAAACGTCTTGGAATGTACCACGTCCACAGTCCGACTTTGGAAATGATCATGCATACAATGGACTGAGGATTAGGTGCGTTCCTTTGCGTCTTACTGCCAATATGACCAAGTTGTGAAAACAAGGTCAGACAACTTCTATACAACGAAAGCGGATGCGATCATATTAAAAGCCTCACCATCCTGGTCCTCATAGCCTTGGGCATAAAATAAAATAAACAAGATTGGTAGTAGATTTCATCACCTGTTCTAAATATATTTTTTAAATATTCCATCTTCAAAGGCATATTTCATTAAATTAATTACAATATATAAATTTCATTCTTATTCTATGCGAAATGGATTCAGTTCGATTAGTAATTAGTGATTCCTCTGCAAATATAAAGAGATGACTTCAAATTATCAAACAATTCTTAATGTTTAATGGCCTATCCCAAGAATTTGCCACAATTAATAAATACGTTTTTACATGGTGATGAGAAGTGAGATTCTCTTCTAGATCCACCTGCTAGACTAACCAAAGATATCCGTTGTATTATTTGTCAAATGGCGTAACCCAGTGGTTCCTAATTTTTTCCTAGTCGTGGCGCCCTTTTTCAATTAAAATTTTTCTATCGCGTCCTACCCTAAGTATGACTATTCATAAGTAAGAGGTAAAAATAAATAATACTCGTGTATCTTCATTATTTTTTTAACTTTATTAACATTAAATTAATACTTGATAATTAATGTGATAGATGAGCCTGCAAATCACTGCACGTTTTCTCAAATTAAAGCTTTTATAATAAAGAGGCCGCGGCGCACAGCTTGGGAATCACTGGCGTAACCTATTCAATCCTAACGAGATAAATCGAAACCAATTTTCATCAACCTTCTAAATTCACATTCGAATTTGCAT